TTACTCTAAGTTTCAGATTGATATTATTAAAGTGAATGAGTATTTTTCACGGTCTGTTATTTGCCTGCTAATAGAGACTGGAACATAAAACAGTTACCTTTGAAAACAGAGCCAGTTCTCAACCTGAGCAGTTTGCCAGGGTTCCAGGTTAATGAGGTCAGGGACACTTGCACCAGAACTGTCTCCATGGAGATAGTGCTTTCCCCCCTTCCCCCCCCCCCGTTTATTAGCTGTGAGACCAATCTGCAGAAGTAGCCATGGTGTGCCACAGAACCTGAGGCAGACCTGCTGTCTGAATTAGGTGACCATAGCACCAACCTGTAAGTATTCCCTTACAGAAGGCTTATGTGGGTTAGTGTAGGAAGATTCGCACAAGTTTGTTCACTCATACAGCAAAAGAGCAGAAATGTGGTATGAGCTGGAGCTGACAGTGAAACCCAGAAACCTTGCTGACTCCTCGCATCTGCTTGTGTATGATGCTAGATGCTAGAGGGGAGCTGACCTGAGCTCCTCGCTGTGCTAATCCCTGGCTCAGTGGAGTTTGTTCTCACGTGTGGTGACTCCAGAGTAACTCGGGTGTCTCTACTTGGCACCTGAATATAGCTGTACACTGATACCCATCCCCTCATTACTTACCTACTACTGCAAGGGACAAGTGACTTTACAGGTTTGTTAAATGCCTTTACTGATGCCATGCGAGAATTCAGTATAGTCTGTTTTCTCCTTCTTACAGGTTGCTGAAGTATTAGAAATGCCTCCTATGAGAGTGTATGAAGTAGCAACCTTCTATACAATGTATAATCGTAAACCTGTTGGGAAGTACCATATTCAGGTCTGCACTACCACACCTTGCATGCTGCGAGACTCTGACAGTATTTTAGAAGCCATTAAGAAGAAACTTGGTATGACACAAATATGCAATATACTTGTAATTTTTTAAACGTTTTTTTAATGCTATTGAAGTAAAATTGCTCATGGTGGGAACAGCAATAGTATTGAAAATAGAGTGTAAGTATTGGAGAAGAGGTGCTAAACAATTCAGATTTCAGATTCTGCCTTTAGTCTTTATTTGTAAAGATTTTAGTACAGCAGAGCAGAAGAGGCCGTTGCCTGGAATGCCATTTACTGACCTTAAAGTGGTTTTAAAGACAGTTTGCCAGGAAGCTCATTATTCTAATGTGACTCTTGGACTGAGAAAGTAAGTGCTATGCCATATACAGGCGAGGACTCTGAATGCCATGGCTTTTTTTTTTTTTTATATACAAAATAAGATTTTTGAGGTATAAGCTATATGAAAATTGTGAGGGGTTTTTTGGGTTTTTTTACTTCAGCAAAGTGACAGAATCATAGAATAGTTTGGGTTGGAAGGGACCAGAAAGATGATCTAGTTCCAAGTTCCCTGCCAAAGGCAGGGACACCTTCCACTAGACCAAGTTGCTCCAAGCTGTCCAACCTGTGCTGCCAGGGACAGAGCAGCCACAGCTTCTCTGGGCAGCCTGCTCCATTGTCTCACCACTTTCACAGTAAAGAATTTCTTCCTAATATCTAATCTAAATCTACCCTATTTCAGTTTAAAGCCATTCCCCTTTGTCCTCTCCCTACATGCCCTTGTGATTCCCTCTCTCCAGATTTCTTGTAGGCCCCCTTTAGGTACTGGAAGGCTGCTGTAAGGTCTCCCTTGAGACTTCTCCAGGCTGAACAAGCCCAACTCTCTCAGCCTGTCCTCACAGTAGAGGTGCTCCAGCCCTCTGATGATGTTTTTTCCTCCTTATTGGATGGTTATGAGGAAAAGTGGGGATAAGATCAGCAACTAACAACTCTTTCTATGAAATTACAAGCTATGCTAACCTTTCCTAATGTGAGAAGAGCTGCAGAATAGCTGCTTATTATCTTGCATTTCACATATTCTGTGGTCTGGAAAAGGCATATTTAGATGAAATTTGTTACTGCAAAGATAGTTTAACTGAAACTCTTAGCTTGAGAAATCAAACCATTAAAGATGATAGCGTAGTTCATACTGAGACAGGCCTTACTTAAGACTTTCATTAGTGTGTTGTTCCTGCTCTCCCAATAACTGTAGAGGAAAAATGCTTTTCAGCATTCTTCTTTCCATGGAGTGTTTTGTTGAGATCAGACTCAAATGTTATGGTGGCTGAACTGTCCTCTGGGGAAGGTATTTGTCTGGCTCACTAAAACAAAAACATGTCATGGAAGCTAAGTCTGTGTGCAGTGTTGTTCAATATATAAGCCTTGGTGTATAAAATTGGAAGTTGTCTATGAATTTGTAGCTAAAAATTTTAATGCTTGAATCTTGGTTAATTTGGGAATTTTATACTCAGTGCCATATTAACATATTTCATATCAGCACATGAAAGCTGTTTTTGCTATTTTCCATTCTATTGTACTGATTACTAAAAATGTTCCCAAGTAGAGCTGTGCTGTTCCTTAGAATTGTCATTTCATGGTTATTTTTCAGTAAGTCATAACTACAAACCTATAAATAAGGCCTCCAAAATGTGTATGAAAACTGACTTCACAGTTTGTTAGAATCTTTTGTTGAATGGAAATATTTTGGACTCATTTAAGAGGACTTAAGTATGCAGCTGTTTTAAAGGCCAAAACACAAGTAATGAGAAGTCTCTGAAGTACTTATACTTCATTAATCTTGTTCAATGACCATTGCTGAACCTAATATTCTTTATTGGTTTAGGTATAAAAGTTGGGGAAACAACACCCGATAAACTCTTCACGCTGATAGAAGTGGAATGTTTAGGTGCTTGTGTAAATGCACCAATGGTACAAATAAATGATAATTACTATGTAAGTATTGCATTCCCTTTTTAAAGATGGAACTTCTTTGCTGGGTTGCGTTTACATTTGTTTCAGACTCTGAATTTCTGGTCAGTTCCTTCAAATTCCTATTGGCAAGGACAACTTACAACTGAGAACATCTTTTAGTTTCTTAGCGTCCTCCTAGCACACTTCATCTGTAGCACGGTGGATCGGAGTATTTTTTCCTTTCTGTTACTGTGTTGATTTATACAAGTGGGGTAATGTGTTTCTGTGATAGTAGTCTGCCCATAAATCTGGGATTTTTAGATAGGTATTTGATAAGCTTTTAAAAGCACTTTAAAGCAGTCTGATGGAAAGCATGGGCAGGCTTAACACTATTTTTAACTTTTAGACTTCTAAATTTGGCTGACCTGAATTATGCCTGACCTAGATGCCATCAGACCAAAGGAATTAATGTATTGACTGAATCCAGCTTAAAAACAACCCCAAAACAACAAGCACCATCCCAAACAAAAACCCACAAAACCAGCTTATTTTTAATATATTTTATTGTTATCACAGTCTGATTAATTTTTATGAACTGTACTCTTGAACTATACCCACCATTGCTTTTGTCACAGCTGACACCATTATGTACCACTATGGATACAGTGGGTAGACAGAGATCCAGCTCACTGAGGTACCAAGGAAGCTGAAAACACAAGCCCGTGTTACAGATGACCTGCCTCAACATTGTTAGTTTTTACATAATTTCTGCAAGACATAAAACAAATTTTAACATTAAAATGACAGTAGGTTTTTTAATTTTCCTAATTCTTTAAACAAGTATGCATATTAATGGACAGGGTCAAAATTACCTATGTAGCATCACACCTGAGAGCCCCTAATCTGATGAATTTTGCATGCTGCAATTAGTGCAGTTGCTGACTTTGCAGGGTCTTTTTTCTATTTGGTCAGTTATTTTTCTTTTTGGTTTTTGGTGTTTTTTTTCTTTTTTTTTTTTTACAGGAGGATTTGACACCTAAAGATATCGAAGACATAATTGATGAACTGAAGGCTGGCAAAGTTCCCAAACCTGGCCCAAGGTATGCTCTGCTTGTATAATACTGGCCAGCTACTTGAAGGCTGATCCTTCTGAAAAACTAGATTCCTGTTCCAGTGATTTGAGGTCATAACCTAAGATAAAAAACATTAATTCACATCCTGAACAGAATGGCATTGTATTCAGTGCCTTGCGGTATCTTCAAAGCCAAAAAGAACTGGAAGGAACAGAGAATTTGCATGTTCTTGATGCATTAGAGGAGCATGAAATGTGAAAACATTTAATTTTGATTTGGCTTAGTACTTAGTAACTGAATAGTATCATCTGTTGCCTTTTTATTTTTCTAGCTCATGTTAATCAACAAATTCCTGTTGTTGGGTGTCTTTTCAATTTCTGACAAAACCCAGAAAGATTGCAAGTTTGTGGAAGGGTTACTTCTGAATTGTTAATTTCCACTGTTCTTTGTTAGTCTAACTACACACGTTTGTGTGAATGGGGGAATTAATTTGACTTGGGTGTTTTACTTGTTCGTACTGTTTCATCGTAATGTTTTGGGTTTGGTTTTTGGTTTTTTTTAATACAAGAACAGTAGTCTTAAAACAATTACAGTTTCCAAACACAGGGAAGCATCTTTAACAAAAATATGACCACTGTAATCAGATACTGCCTTTGGTATTACTGGGATCAGCATCACTTTTGTCTGGCCAACCTATAAATCAATAAAAAAGAAAACTAGTCATCCTATCTTGTATTTCAGTTATGAAACTATCTGTCACGAAAGAATGAAAGAAAAAAGCAGCTTCAGGCTTAAGTAAGATAAACACAGTATGTGAGGTGATAACAGTACTAGCACTGGATAAAACATTGTTTTTCATTTTTCAGGAGTGGACGTTTCTCTTGTGAGCCCGCTGGTGGCCTTACTTCTCTGACTGAGCCACCGAAAGGACCAGGTTTTGGAGTTCGAGCTGACCTCTAAGGATTTTGTAATACAAGATCAGCTGTCTGAAAATAATAAACTCATTCTAAATCTCTGTAAAATTATATGCATTCTAGTACTTCTTTTAAAAACAAAGAAAGCAACAGCAGTTAGAACACCTAACTTATGGTGGTTTTAACTACTGCAAAGCATAATCATAATTCTAGGTTATAATAATCATAATTCTAGGTTATAAGAAAAGTGGTTCTGTCGACTGTGAAGTGCCTCACTGAAAGAGTCCACTTACGGTCACTGAGAGGTGATAGCTGCATCATTTGATTTGCCATTAAAAAAATTTTTATCTTTTTCTAAGGTTCTTTGAAGAAGCAACAAAACTGTCTAAATTACTGGCACATCTGGCAAATGCACAAGGAAACAAAAGGAAATTATCTGGCAGAGCTTCATTGCTTGCTACTTTTAATTGCAATTTAAAAACAAAACAAAAAAAAGGTGATCAAGCATAAAAAATCTGGTAGGTTCCATAAGAAGTGTTTCTTGAATCTAGTGTTTCCTACTACCATTCAGTGAACAGGGAAAATGTGAGAATTATCTTTTTATCATGTTAACAAAAAAACCCACACCAAATAGCAGTACTGCTCTACAAAAAGAATGAACAGTAACCATTTCCTGTACAAATTTATTCAATACAGCCAAGGTATGAGTGGGGGGAAAACAGAGTATACTAGAATAGTTTAATATTTAGCTAATTGTGATATGTAAAACTAGGTATCTGGTTCACAGATCTTTCTTTGACCTTACTGCTGTGTACCTGCTACTTTCAAGAACAAAATCTGTGCGAAATTGAGGTTCTTCTCCTAATACAAAAAAGTCAAAGATAACTTTTTAAAAATTATTGTATACTGATACTTGTATATAAAGCATTTGACAGATTTTACAAGCGTATGTATATGTATGCACATGCTTTTCAATGTAAATGAGGAAACATGAACATGTCAGTTACCAGAGACCATACTTTGTCTGCCTCTACTAAAATCTGCCATGGAACTTACATGATTATAATTAATGTGGCAGATGGAGCTCAATTGTATTATTTATATTTTATTCTGTATTATATTTAGTTTGGTTTGATACTCTGATTAACAGTTCTTTCCTGAACTGTTTTCCCTTGCCCAAGTTTTGTTATCTCTTATAGTCTGTTCATGCCCTACCTTTGTTTCAGTAGACTCTGAAGTTCCTTGATAACACTGTGTTACTGTTGGTAGTTCTGAAAGCAAAATACGTAAGGATATCATCTGTATGTAAAACTTGTTCTCCCTTCTACATTACTAAATTTATAAAGTGAAATAATTGCATACAAATGGAAAAGTAAATTCGATAAATGTAACTCATGAGTGAAGTAGTCACCCAATAAGCATGAAAAAACCCAATCTTAAATGTCATAAAGCACTGCGCATATGAGAAAATAGTGCATGGATTGAAATATTATCTGTAATTTAAAGTTGATGAATGCTCTTCTTCAAGGTCACTCGAGTGTTTCTAATAGCCAGATGCCTTGAAGCAGGCTAGGCAGCTGGCACTTCTCTGGAGACATAAAATGAGATAGACAGCACACTGCATTTTGATGCAGAGATGCTTATTTTTATATACCAGTCTAACTAAGCTGTTTCTCAATAACAACAAAGCTGTATTCCTGTCCATACAGGATTACCATATTCTAATCTAGTATGAAAGCAGACAGCTATTTTCAAAGTATACACTGAACATAAATGAGGACTTTGCATGTGTTATGGAACTACTGTGTGCTGCAGTTATTCAGTATTTTGTATGTAACTGAAACTGATGGGATTGCATAATTGTGTTGAAAAGAAACAGTTTTAGACCTGCCAAGTGTGAAACTTTCAAGTATTCCAAAACAAAACACAACTACCAGACTCCTCCCATTCGTAAAACTGGACAGCAGGAATTGTTGCCTCCTTCCACTTTTCTCTTATTCATTCCCTCTAGACACAAAAAATCTTGAATGCGTTTCATGAGCAGAACATGAACCTCAGTGGTTTCCCATTTGCTGGAGATCACCTTAATGGTGTTCCACAGACAGGTATGTCACTCATTTTGATGTAACATATCATAGTCTGAGACTCATTTGACTAGAAAAAGATAATTTGGTATTATCCTTACAGTGTGATATATCTGATATATCACTGTTTGAATTCAATACTGTAGGGCAGCTCTAGCATTTTGAAATATGTGAAGAGAAGTAAGCAAATAACCATCGTTATTCTCTCCCATCTAAACCCACTTCATTCATCAACTGCATGAAGCTTTATGGTCCTGGTTTCCACAGCAAAAGTGTTTGGCAATCGTTGTATTAAGATAAATACTAGAAAAGAAAAACAAAAAACCAAAACCCTGTCTTGTGTTATTTCAGCTTTTGTTGAAATCTGAACATTGCAAACTTGAAACATGTCAACTAGAAATACAGATTCTACGATATTTGTTACTTTTGGTTGTTTACTATATAAAAAATATTTTCATAATAACTTACATCTGACTGTGATAAGGATTAAAATGGTGATTGTTATGGAAGAGTTCCAGAATAGTGTAAGAATTGTAATGTATCCAGGTTCTTTTCTAGTCTTGAATAGCTGCAAGTAATACTCTGTACTTGCTTTTAGTAGTATTGAATATTTCAGCTAACAAATACTAATAAGACATCACTTCCATTATCCTCAACAGCAGAGGGTTATTAATAGCAATTCTGGGCAGCTAACCAGTCAAATACTTCTAAATCTGCAGTTTCAATGTACCAGTTAGCATCTTGGACTGTAAGAGCACTGGGTGGCCAGTTAAGTGAAAAATGACTTCTAGATGATCTTAAGGTCCTTTCCAACTATAACTATTCTATGATTCTTTAAACTGGTAATACAGGAGTAACAGGCCTGATTTTGTGGGGTTTAGTGGTCTTGTTTATCCCTCTTCTGGAATGAGGAAAAAAAGAATTAATGGGCTATATTATCTAAAAGTGGAAGAAAAAAAAAAGGAGTCTTTTTCCCACCCCAGTTAAAAGACTATAGAGAAAATTTTAAGAAAAATAGTCTTGGGAAAGGAAAAGAGATTTAGAACATGGAAGCACAAAGAAACCACTGGACCAAGCCAGTGGGTGGTGGTTGCTCCTTTGGTGAAGATAGAAGAAAGTTTGGAGTACTGGGAGACTCCACTACGTACCCAACAGTGTTGCATAATGAAGAGTTTCCATCACCTCTGAACACTACTAGAAAAATGTCACCTGGAACCACGCTGTCACTAAATAGGAAGAAGCACTGAAATTCATTTCCACCTGTGCAGTGTTAGCTGGGCCATTCACTGGCTGACCTGCCGCTTAACCACCAAAGGCACATGTGTATGCTTTCACCAGCATGACATTCTGCAAGTTCTTGGGATAAAGTTATTAGACTTTTGTACTACAATCAGAGATTTTCAGTCACTGAATTCCTAGACGCGAGTTCAGCAATGACAGAGTCCAACCAAATGCTGCACACATTCGTGTTAAGACCAGCAACTCACACTGCTGGTAACCCAAGATGTTTCACGATGGAGGGCAGATCAAAGGAAGTACAGCACCCACCAACACAGTGCATCTACAAAGGCGTTTTACAGCTGTGCTGTATGTAAAAGGATGGGCTTCTGGAGACAAGGGGAAGAAATCCATGTAGGGGGAGCAATTAGCACTTAACTGACCAATTAAGGCTTAAGCAACCCTGTTTTTTAGTTAGATATTATTAAATCTTAACATCTGCTGCAGATGTTGCTCATGAGATTCCTTCCCTGTTGTCAGCTGCTGGTTGTGAACACCTACTACCCCACTGAAATCCTGGAGCCACATGCTACTCATGCTAATGCATAAGGATCAGGATGAAGTGCTACACCACCACACTATACTTGTAGCCTCTTATGTTTTAGAGGGTGAATCAGCAATGGCAACCCTGTATAGTACTGTGAGAAGAAAAAATATTCTTCCTCGGTAAATAGTTGTTAGTTCACTTACACTGTTAGCCCCTAGCCTGTCCACTCTTCAGTCTGCTTGCCATCTCATGTGATGAGCTCTGCAATCAAGCTAACATGAAGAATATGAAGCAAGTGCAACTCCTTTTGTGATGTAGTCAGGGGTGCCAAATTCCTGCTCCAGGTCACCTGACAGAACTCCTGGTACACTAACAATCACATGAAGGCAGTTGCTTTGCCATACAAGTGATCTGCACCAGCAGATCATACATTACAGTAACATTCTTGAAAGCATGTGAAACAAATCTGCCTGAACAGATTAGGCAGATCAACAGTAAGATGTTGTGCAGTGTGGGAATATCTGGGATTTGTGATGCCATTCTCAGGCTGGAAAATGATGGGTGGAGAAAGTCTACATAATAGATAGCCTTAATCAAAGCAGTCTTTTAATTAAAAAAACATCTTTCTGACAAAGTCACCCATCTGACATTCACAGTAAATACTAAGGAATTCTTGCTTTCTACACAACAGACGAAAGAAACCCAGTAGCAGACTGAGCATGGCAACTAAGACTCCACTAAGCAGAAGGGCTTTGTCCAGTTGCTTTCTCAAAACATTACCCCTGAGACAGCCCATGTATCTTTAGCCCCCCACACCCACCCAGAACACACAAGTACCAAACCACGTGACTAAATTCTTTTAAGTCTTAACGTGTAATGCTATATTAATAAGCAGTTACAAAGCCTTTCACAAGTACAGATGAATGACCCATTTTCAAAGTTGCAACTAGGACTAACGTCAGCCTACTCCTGTAACCCCTTCTGATGCATTTGTATGACGTCTGCCTTATTGGCGCAAGCAAGACACCCCTAAAAGCTACACACTTTTGGTGTCCCTATCCATGGCAGGGGAGTTGGAACTAGATCTTAAGGTCCTTTTCAACCCTAACTATTCTATGATTCTGTGTTGTTCTTAAACCTGGAAGCGGGCCCGAGCTCCAGACAGCAGGCTCTGCGGAGCTGGGGCCCGCACACCCACACAGGCGGCCCTGCAGCGCTCTGTTGCACCCGCCGGGATGCGAAAGGCCGAGCGGGGGCGGACGAGGTCCCTGCCTAAGCGCGGCGCGGCAGAAAGCACAGACAAGGCCCAGGTACAGCGGACTCGTTTGTCCGCGGCCCTTTCGCGAGTGCCCCAAAGGACAGCGCCCCCCCGGCGCCGCGCCACACGCACCTGCGGCCAGAGGCTGCTCCAAGAGGCTGCGGGACCTTTCGCTGCAGCTTGGCGGCACGCAACGATCTGGTCCTACCGCCTGCGAACGCTCACGCCGGCCACCCAAGCAGCAGATACCCACACCCACCTCATTCAGATGCGCCGCCAAGCTGCGCCCACCACGCAGGCGCAGTGCGCCGGCCGTTAAAACTCACTGCGCCATCGCCGCCAGAAAACCCCTCCCCGAGGAGGGAGGGAGCGACCAGCAGGGCCGCGGCGGCAGAGCGGGTCGGTGGGGACGGTGGTGGCAGTAGCTTTAGACCGGCTGCCGTTCCGCGTTCCGCCCTCGCCCCGTCCCTGCCCCTCCACCAGGCGCGAGGCACCCGGGCCGCCGCCATTTCCAGAAAGTTCCACCGGCAGCCTCCAAGCACAGCGCTGCTGCCCCGGCGCGTGCGCGCCGCTCCCGCCTGTTCCTCGCCACTCTCTTACGCGCGCCCACTCCCCCCCCCCCCAGTCCCCGCCACTGGCACCCTGCGAGCCCGTTATCCCCCGTGCGCACAGAGCGAGTGCGCTCCGTAAGAGGGGTCCGGCGGAGGGGAAGGGCGCGCCCGCACCCGTGTTCCGCGGGCCGGGGGAACAGAGCAGTGCCGTAACGGACGTTGGCTCTTCCCCTCCCCAGCGGCTGCCCGAGCGTTGTAACGCCCGCGCCCCGTGCCCTGTCTGAGGGCCACGTGGGCGGGGCGCGGCCAATGAGAGCGCCGCGGAGCCCTGCTCGAGCACCGACGTTGGGGAAGGGGGAGGGGAGCGGCAACGGCAGCGCAGGGGGAGAGGGAGGGAGGGCGGGGGAGGGGAGGGGTGTTTTCAAACCCGGCAGCCACAGCGGCCGGAGCCGGGGCTAAGCCCGAGCCCCTGGGCACCGGCGGTGCTGGCGGGCGGTGGCCGCTCCCCT